GGATTCTTTCTAACACACTCTCTAAAGGACACTGAGATAGCCTCCGCTAGAAAGACCCCCCTCCATGGCCCGTTAGCCCTCAATTGTAGTCTCTACTGGGGCCTCGAAGGGCTTATTGCCCTTTTGTTCCTTGTGTCTAAAGATTGTGTAGGGTGTGGCTGGAGGCGGTGCATGGAGGCGGGACAAGGGTGGCGCTTGCTGCAGAGTATGGGTGGGACCTGTAAGGGGGCCCTTGATTTATTTTGCCCGGGGGCCCTGAGGGTTCTCAGTCCGCCCCTGCCTCTACCACTTCATCTGGAAGGCTATTCCATGCATCCACTACCCTCTCAGTAAAGTAATACTTCTCGGGTATTATTTTTAAACCTTTGCCCCTCTAATTTAGGACTTCAGGCCAGGGAATCCACTCCTCCAGCCCACACTGTCTGTAAGTAAGTGTGTGTGTGTGTGTGTAACTGCCTGAAACTGTGTGTGTGTGTGTGTGTGTGTAACTGTCTGCCTGAAACTGTGTGTGTGTGTGAGAGAGACTGTCTGTCTGTAACTGTGTGTGTGTGTGTGTGTGCCTGTCTGTCTGTAACTGTGTGTGTGTGTGCCTGTCTGTCTGTAACTGTGTGTGCATGTGTGACTGTCTGTCTGTAACTGTGTGTGTGTGTGACTGTCTGTCTTGTGTGTGTGTGTATAACTGTCTACCTGTAAATATGTGTGTGTGTATAACTGTCTGCCTGTAACTGTGTGTGTATGTGCGTAACTGTCTACCTGTACCTGTACCTGTGTGTGTGTGTGTGTGGGGGGGGGGGGTGGAGACTGTCTGTCTGTAACTGTATGTGTGAGAGAGACTGTCTGTCTGTAACTGTGTGTGTGTGTGCCTGTCTGTCTGTAACTGTGTATGCATGTGTGACTGTCTGTCTGTAACTGTGTATGTGTGTGTGACTGTCTGTCTTGTGTGTGTGTGTATAACTGTCTGCCTGTAAATATGTGTGTATGTGTAACTGTCTGCCTGTAACTGTGTGTGTATGTGTGTAACTGTCTACCTGTAACTGTGTGTGCTTAACTGTCTACCTGTAACTGTGTGTGTATGTGTGTGTGTGTGTGACTGCATGCCTGTAACTGTGTGTGTGTGACTGTCTGTGACTGTGTGTGACAGTCTGCCTGTGACTGTGTGATGCTGCCTGTAACTGTGTGTTACTGTCTGCCTGTGACTGTCTGCATGTAACTTTGTGCGTGGCTGCCTGTAACCGACTGTGTGTGTAACTGTCTGTAACTGTGTGTGTTTTTGGCTGTAATATGTGTATGACTATCTGCCTGTGACCGTGTGTGTGACTGTATATGTGACTGTCTGCTTGTAACTGTGTGTGACTATCTGCCTGTAACTGTGTGTGACTGTCTGCCTGTACCTGTGTGTGACTGTCTGCCTGTAACTGTGTGTGAAGGGGTGCAGGGATTTTGTAGAGGGGGGCAGGGGTTTTAATAAGTTTAAAAATTTGTTCAATACATTTTTTTTAAAAATGTAAAAAAATATAACACATTTTAAAAATGTAGTAGGTTTTTTGGGGGGGAGAAGGGGGCATGCGGGGAGGGGGTGGGTGCCAAACCCAGGACCCACCCTGGGTGCCACATGCCCTAGGTACGCCCCTGGGTCCAAGTACAGATCCCTGAGGTACCCCACTGGTGACAAAAACATGCTTCGAATATACTCCATTGACTACAACCCTCTGTTGCCTGTCACTCAGCCACCTCCTTACCCATTTAACAATATTGGAATCCAAAAAAGAGCAGACATTAGGCTGTTAGAATAGGACCTGCCAAAGATGGGGTACATTGATGTTGTGGCAGGCTTATGCAATGTATGATCATATAATGTAATTAAACCCTCATTACTTTTGCCTAGGTTAGGTGTTTAAAAAAAAAAAAAAACTATTAAAATCTGTCAACATTGAAGTTGCTATTTAGTGGAGTGAGTGAGTGTGCTTGATCTTGTGTATTGTATAAACCGGCCACCAGCAGCACCCTATGTATGCATGTTCAGGTGAGTGCAGCCCCCTTGGTTCATATATATCTATGGTATATATATATATATACATATATATATATATATATATATATATATATATATATATAAAATTGTATGTGTGTCTCTTAGGGAGTTTGCATGTGTTTGTGTGTTTGTCAGTGAGAGTGAATGTGTGCTTGTCAGTGACTGTGTGAGTGTATGTGTTTGTCAGTGAGGATGTATCTGTTCTTGTCAATGAGAGTGTATATGTGTTTGTATGTGTGTCTGTAAAAGAGTATGTGTGTCTGTCAAAGAATGTGTGTTTGTCAGAATTCTATGTGTCGTCTTGCTCAGAAATGCTTCAGACTTGAGAAAGGGAGGTTCTCCCGAAAGCTTGTCATTAAAAAATTATGTTAGTCCAATAAAAAAGGTATTGCAAGATACAAATTGTATCTGTTTTTTACACATATATAATCATAGACATATATATATATATATACACACATACCTATGAGTGTTTAAACCATGGTTAAAGCATGCAGTTTGTTAGCAGAGAGATTTCAGGTGAGGAGAGGTTTAGGAACTTGATTTGTTTTGAAAACCAGCTGCTCTGCACTATCTATAAAGTATGGTAATGACCATGGGATGGGGTGGGGTGGTGAGGGGAGCATGGGCTGCCTTATAGAGCTGATACCTCTGCAGTGCTTGGTTGTTTTTGAGTACTGGGAGTTGCTAATCAATGCTGTTATTTGGGGGACCAGTCTGCAATATAAAGTCTGTGGTTAGAAAAAAAAAAACACCATTATGCGTGGGGAGACATGGAGATATTGAGGAAATTAGAGATGAAAAACCAGAGGAGATAACATTTGGGATAAAAAGATATGAAGGATCAGATAGGTGAAAGTCATGAACACTGAACATAAATTTACAAGACTATCAGTGAAAGAAGTAACACTAGCTAAATAAACAATTAACAAAAAAGTCATAAAGAATGAACATAAAATAACAAGACTATGAGTGCACCAACTTTAACAAAACAGAAGATCAGGATGGGAGATATAATAGTTATCAATTAAATAGTGAGAATATAGGGAGAGAGGTGGAAAAGAACATAATTTTTTTAAGAAATAAAGGAAAACAATAAGTAGTACACATAATTTTTGAACAGATCTTCCAGAGATGACACCTCTGCTTAGGCGATTCTGCAGTGCTTGGTTGTTTTTAAGTACTGGGAGTTGCTAATCAATGCTGTTATTTTGGGCCCAGTCTCAATACTTTGTATTTACTCTATTTTTACCACATTTTCCATGTATTCTGCAATTGTTTACCAAATATGTTTAGAGTTCAAAAGGTCCTCAGATAAAATACATATAGAAAAAGGGAAAAAGATCTCTCTCTCTCTCTCTCTCTCTCTCTCTCTCTCTCTCTCTCTCTCTCTATATATATATATATATATATATATATATATATATATATATATATTACAATAAACATAATCTGAAACAAAAAATAAAAACATCAAATATGCATTCACCCCATGTTTCTATATAGTGCTTGTATGTAAGTTCTTCATTCTTAAAGAGCATAATGGTATTTAAATTATAACATTCAACCCTGACACTACAGATTCTTATTATTATTTATTATTATTTTATTATTTATATAGTGCCATCAGATTCCGCAGCGCTGTACAATGGGTGGACTAACATACATGTAATTGTAACCAGACAACTAAACGTACAGGAACAGAGGGGTGGAGGGCCCTACTCCCTGAGCTTACATTCTAGAGGGAGTGGGGTATAGTGACACAGAGGGTAAAAGTAGGGGTATGAAGTAGGTTGTTAGAAAAGTACTTAGTAGGGCTTAGTAGGTAATTTTTGACAGTTGCAGGAGAGGAGTCATGGAGGGTAGGGGATGAAAACCTGCTAACAGTTTAATTGATATGCTTTCTTGAAGAAGTGAGTTTTCAATGATTTTTTGAATGAGTGGAGACTGGGTGAAATTCCCTCAAACACAGAGAAGGGAAGGGAAGGTGCCGCCCTGGAAAGGTCTTGGAGGCAAGCGGTAGAGGTGGGAGTACGCACAGAGGATATAGGTAGGTCTTTGACAGAGCGTAGGGGCCTCGACGGGACATACTTGTGTATTAGTGAGGATAGGTAGGTTGGAGCAGCATTATGTAGAGACTTGTAAGCAAGCACCAGAATTTTAAATTGAGCCCTACATTTAACTGGAAGCCAATGCAGGGACTGACAGAGCGGGGAGGCGTGAGAGGTGCGGGGCGGACAGGAAAATGAGCCTCGCCGCCGCATTCATTATAGATTGTAGCGGTGCAATCTGGGAACACGTAAGACCACTGAGAAGAGTATTGCAGTAGTCCAGGCGAGAGAGAACAAGAGCATGGGCCAGCACCTTAGCCGTATCCGGGGTTAAATAGGGGCGGATGCGCGCTATGTTTTTGAGATGGAAGTAACAGGATTTGACGATTGATTGGACATGAGGGGTGAAGGAGAGGTTGGAGTCAAAAAAGAACACCCAGACAGCGAGCCTGCGAGGTAGCGCCATTGACTTGGAGGGAGACAGACACGGGAGTAGTAACACTTGAGGGAGGAAAGACCAGAAGTTATGTTTTGGACAGGTTGAGTTTAAGGAAGTGAGTAGCCATCCATTCGGAAATCGAAAAGAGGCAGTCAGAGACACGAGTCAAGATGGGCGGAGAGAGATCAGGAGAGGACAGGTAGATTTGCATTTCATTCGCATAGAAATGATAACAGAAGCCAAAGTAGCTGATGAGTTTACCAAGGGAGGCAGTGTAGATAGAGAACAGTAGGAGACCAAGGACAGAACCTTGGGGGATGCCGACTGAGAATGGTTGGGGGGAAGAGGCAGAGTCAGAGAAAGAAACACTGAAAGAGCGCTGGGAGAGGTAGGAGGAGCACCAGGAAAGAGCAGTATCCCGTAGATCAAAATTACGGAAAATGCGAAGAAGATGTTGATGATCAACAGTGTCAAAGGCAGAAGAAAGATCAAGGAGAATTAGGATAGGGTAATGGCCACGAGATTTAGCAGCAATTAAATCGTTGCATACTTTGGTCACAACTGTTTCGACAGAATAACCAGCGCAGAATCCAGACTGAAGGGGGTCAAGCAGAGAGTTGGTTTCGAGAAAGTCAGTCAGTCTGGTGTACACGACTCTCTCGAGGATCTTGGAGGCAAATGGCAGTAGCAAGATAGGGCGGTAGTTAAATGGGGAGTTGGGGTCAAGGCTGGGCTTTTTCAGAATTGGGGTTACAGTTGCATGTTTGAAAGGTGAGGGAAAAGTGCCAGAGGAAAGGGAGAGATTGAAAATTTTAGTGAGGGGAAGAGCAAGAGAGGGAGACATAGTGCGGATGAGATATGAAGGAATAAGATCGAGGGAGCAGGTAGTGGGGCGGGAGGACCAGAGCAGAGCAGAAACCTCTTCTGCTGTAGCAGGTGCGAATGAGTGTAGAATGGTGGAGGGAGTGGGATTGGGTGATATATTGGGGGGGAGGAGAGAAATTGGCGATCTCTTCTCTGATTGTAGAGATCTTCTCAGTGAAGTGAGATGCAAAGTTTGTGGCGGACAAGGTGGTTGAAGGAGGGGGATTAAAAGGGTGAAGAAGAGCATCAAAAGTGTGAAATAGGTGTTTGGGTTGATGGGACAGTGTACTTATGAGGGTATTAAAGTCATTTACTTTTGCAGGCTGTAGGAGCGCAGCATAAATTTATAGGGGAGGAAGTCAGATGCAAAGTATGACTTTCAACAGCAGCGTTCAGCAGTTCTAGAACATTTGTGGAGGTAACGAGTCAGCTTGGTGTGCCAGGGTTGTAATTGGGGGCGCTTGCTGCGTTTAATTGTAGGAGGTACCATGATGTTGAGCTGAGAGGAGAGAGTTGAGTTGTAGAGTGAGGTAGCCGAGTTAGGGCAAGTTAGATTTGAGATGGGTAAAAGGAGAGTACTGAGTTTGGTGGAGAACTGCTGGAGATCAAGGCAGTTGAGGTTTCTGCGAGATTGGAGAGTTGAGGGTGGTGAAATTTTGGTACGGGGTATGCCGATGTCAAATGTTTGTAGATGGTGGTCAGACAAAGGAAATGGAACAGTGGAGAGATTAGAGGTGGTGCAGACATTGGTGAAGATGAGGTCAAGAGTGTTTCCTGCTGTATGAGTTGCTGAAGTAGACAACTGCGTGAGGCCAAAGGAGGAGGTTACAGAGAGCAGACGGTAGGCATCAGGGCAGTTGAGGTTATTAATTGGAATGTTAAAGTCCCCAAGTATAAGGGAGTGCTAGAGGATAGAAAGTGGGGTAGCCAGGAAGAAAAGTGTTCAATGAATAGCCTAGGATGACCGGGGGGACAATAGATGATGGCAATTCTTAAAGGAGTGGGCTTAAAAAGGCGGACAGTGTGAACTTCAAAGGACGTAAAGGAAAGGGCAGGGGCAGAAAAGATAGGTTCAAAGGTACATTGAGGGGAGAGAAGGATGCCAACACCGCCGATAAGTTGTATTTAAAATCATAAACATATAGTAAGGAATATATTAGCATTATACATTATAAAATTAAAGGAAACAATATATAGTGAGGAGTATATTAGTATAAAACATTGTAAAGTTAAAAGAAAAACTGTATAAACTGGGAGAGCTGTTTATTAAAAATAAAAAGTTGTAAAAGTTATAAAAGTTTTTAAAAATGGCACAGTTCAAAATCTGCATTCAACCCAAAAGGATTAATGGTGTTCAGATTAAAAATCCACCTCATCTCTGTTTTACCTAGCAATTTTTATACTATATTAGACACACTTCACTGTAAAAAGCACCTATATCACATTATATTCCTTGTTTACTACTTTAGCACCCTAAATAAGGTCATGACTTGGTATATAGTGTCACCCAGATCAGTCCACGAGCCACGGCATCTTGAAAGACACTGTGTGATTGATCCCAGCACTCAGAAGAGCACCCCACAAAGTGTTGCTGAGTAGGACTGGATGAGCTGACCCACGCTGGATGCAATGACACACAACGACATGGCACCTCTTGGAGAGATAGGAGGGACACTGAGGGAATGTGAGGTAAGTCGTGGGGGCCTCACAGCTTCATATTCAGAATCCGGGCTTCACTGCCCATTGGTGATTTTGAC